AGATAGTCATTTAGGCAGGTTACCTTAGAGCTCTTGGGAACAGGGACACTGGTGGTCACCTTGAAACATGTTGGGATTAAAGGCTGGGACAAGGAGAGCCTGAAAATGTCTGTGAAGACACCTGCCAGCTGGTCTGCGCATGCTTTGAGAACACACTCTGGTATTCCGCAATATTTGCCCATTCTTCCTTGCAGAATTGTTCAAGCTCAGTCAAATTGCATGGTGACCGCTCATGGACTGCACTCTTCAAGTGATTCCACAGATTCTCGATGGGATTTAGGTCGGGGCTCTGACTAGGCCACTCAAGGACATTCACCTTCTTGTCCTTCAGCCACTGTACGGTTGCTTTGGCGGTGTGCTTTGGGTCATTGTCATGTTGAAACGTGAACCATCTTCCCATTTTCAACTTCCTGGCAGAGGGCTGCAGGTTCTCCAGAATCTGTCTGTATTTTGCACTGTCCATTTTCCATTCTATCCTGACAAGTGCTTCAGCCCCTGCTGAAGAGAAACACCCCCACAACAGGATGCTGCCACCGCCGTACTTTACTGTAGGCATGGTGTTCTTTGGGTGGAAAGATGTATTGGGTTTTCGCCAGACATATCATTTTGTTTTTTTAAGTTCAATTTTGGTCTCATCTGACCACAGCACCTTTTGCCACTTGGCCTCGTAATCTACAATGTGCTTTTTGGCAAAGCTCAAACGAGACTTGATGTGGCCTTTTTTGAGGAGTGGTTTTTTTCTTGCCACCCTCCCTTAGAGGCCAGATTTGTGTAGCGCTTGTGATATTGTAGTCACATGCACACATTGACCAGTCTTTGCCATAAAGGCCTGAAGCTCCTTCAAAGTCACCATTGGCTTCTTGGTAGACTCTCTGATCAGTCTCCTCCTTGCACGATCATCCAGTTTGGAGGGACGGCTGATCTATGCAGGGTCTGGGTGGTGCCATACGCCTTCCACTTCTTAATAATGGTCTTAACTGTGCTCCGAGGGATAGACAATGCCTTAGAATTATTTTTATATCCATCCCGACTTGTACCTTTCCACAACTTTATCTCGTAGATCTTTTGAAAGTATCTTTCCGCCCCATAGTGGATTCTATGCTTTGAATTGCACTACTAAGCAGTGGAGTCCTCTATAAACAACTGCTTTTATTCTGAACTAATCAAAGTCACTACAATTGATCACAGATGGAAGCCAATTAGCTTGATTTGTGATCTGGAAGGTGGTTGGTTATACCTCAGCAAGTTTGCAATTGCAATTATAAGGGGGGTGTTCACTTATCCAAATAGGGTATTTTACTGTTTTAATTTTAATTAATTTTCAGAGTTCTTTCCCAAAAAAATTCACTTGGATATTGTGGGTTACTGTGTGTAAATAAAGCTGGAAAAAGTCAGATTCTATGTGTTTTCATTTCAGGCTGTAAGGCAACAAAAGGTGAACATTTTGAAAGGGGGTGGTGACTTTCTTTTTCAATCACAAAACATATCATATCGGCAGTGCCTTCAGAAAGTATTCATATCCCTTGAATTATTCCACAATTTGTTGTGTTACAGCCTGAATTCAAAACGGATTACATATGTATTTTTTTCTCACCCATTTACATACAATACCCCATTAATGACAAAGTGAAAACATGTTTAGACATTTTTACAAATTTCTTGAAAATGAAATACAAAAATATAGAATTTACATAAGTATTCACAACCCTGAGTCAACACATGTTAGAATAACCTTTGTCAGAGATTACAGCTGTGATTCTTTCTGCATAAGTCTTTAAGACTTTGCACACCTGGATTGTACAATATTTGCCCAGTATTCTTAAAAAAATTCTTCAAAATATGTCAAATTGCTTGTTGATCATTGCTAGACAACCATTTTCAAGTCTTGCCATAGATTTTCAAGCAGATTTATGTCACAACTGTAATTTCGCCACTCAGGAACATTCACCATCTTCTTGGTAAGCAACTCCAGTGTTGATTTGGCCTTGTGTTTTAGGTTATTGTCCTGCTGAAATGTGAATTCATCCCACAGTGTATGGTGGAAAGCAGACTAAACCAGGTTTTCCTCTAGGATTTTACCTATGCTTAGCTCCATTCCGTTTCTTTTTTATCCTGAAAAACTCCCCAGTCCTTTATAATTACAAGCATACCCATAACATGATGCACTCACCACTATGCTTGAAAATATGGAGAGCGGTCCTCAATAATGTGTTCTATTGGATTTGCCCCAAATATAACACTTGTATTCAGGACAAAAAGTTTATTGCTTTGAAACATTTTTTCTAGTATTACTTTAGCCAGTTGTTGCAAACAGGATTCATGTTTTGGAATATTTGTATTCTGTACAGGCTTCCTTCTTTTCACTCCGTCAATTAGGTTAGTATTGTGGAGTAACTACAATGTTGTTGATCCATCCTCAGTTTTCTCCCATCACAGCCATTAAACTCTTTAATGTTACCATTGGCCTCATGGTGAAGTCCCAGAGCAGTTTCCTTCCTCTCCAGCAACTGAGTTAGGAAGGACACCTGTATCTTTGTAGTGACTGGGAGTATTGATACATGATCCAAAGTGTAATTAATAACTTCCCATGCTCAAAGGGATATTCAGATAATTGTATGTGTGGGGTAAATGAGGTAGTCATTTAAAAATCATGTCAAACACTATTATTGCACACAGTGATTCCATGCAACCGCAGTTCAGAGGGGACAAATTTGTGCACGGCCCATTTCACTGAGTGTCTCTGCCAAAGCCACCATTCAGAAACTCACTGAGAACTAGAGTGGTTTTAAGCTGCTAAAAGTTACTTAAGCTTGGAGTTAGGAGTCTGGGGGACAAGGTTTCAACTCAAGTGAGATCATAGTGCACATGAAATATAACAATGAGATACAGTGAGGGAAAAAAGTATTTGATCCCCTGCTGATTTTGTACGTTTGCCCACTGACAAAGACATGATCAGTCTATACTTTTTATGGTAGGTTTATTTGAACAGTGAGAGACAGAATAACAACAAAAAAATCCAGAAAAACACATGTCAAAAATGTTATAAATTGATTAGCATTTTAATGAGGGAAATAAGTATTTGACCCCTCTGCAAAACATGACTTAGTACTTGGTGGCAAAACCCTTGTTGGCAATCACAGAGGTCAGACGTTTCTTGTAGTTGGTCACCAGGTTTGCACACATCTCAGGAAGGATTTTGTCCCACTCCTCTTTGCAGATCTTCTCCAAGTCATTAAGGTTTCGAGGCTGACGTTTGGCAACTCGAACCTTCAGCTTCCTCCACAGATTTGCTATGGGATTAAGGTCTGGAGACTGGCTAGGCCACTCCAGGACCTTAATGTGCTTCTTAGTGAGCCACTCCTTTGTTGCCTTGGCCGTGTGTTTTGGGTCATTGTCATGCTGGAATACCCATCTACGACCCATTTTCAATGCCCTGGCTGAGGGAAGGAGGTTCTCACCCAAGATTTGACAGTACATGGCCCCGTCCATCGTCCCTTTGATGAGGTGAAGTTGTCCTGTCTCCTTAGCAGAAAAACACCCCCAAAGCATTATGTTTCCACCTCCATGTTTGACGGTGGGGATGGTGTTCTTGGGGTCATAGGCAGCATTCCTCATCCTCCAAACACGGCGAGTTGAGTTGATAACAAAGAGCTCCATTTTGGTCTCATCTGACCATAACACTTTCACCCAGTTCTCCTCTGAATCATGCAGATGTTCATTGGCAAACTTCAGACGGCCCTGTATATGTGCTTTCTTGAGCAGGGGGACCTTGCAGGCGCTGCAGGATTTCAGTCCTTCATGGCGTAGTGTGTTACCAATTGTTTTCTTGGTTACTATGGTCCCAGCTGCCTTGAGATCATTGACAAGATCCTCCCGTGTAGTTCTGGGCTGATTCCTCACCGTTCTCTTGATCATTGCAACTCCACGAGGTGAGATCTTGCATGGAGCCCCAGGCCGAGGGAGATTGACAGTTCTTTTGTGTTTCTTCCATTTGCGAATAATCGCACAAACTGTTGTCACCTTCTCACCAAGCTGCTTGGCGATGGTCTTGTAGCCCATTCCAGCCTTGTGTAGGTCTACAATCTTGTCCCTGACATCCTTGGAGCGCTCTTTGGTCTTGGCCATGGTGGAGAGTTTAGAATCTGATTGATTGATTGCTTCTGTGGACAGGTGTCTTTTATACAGGTAACAAGCTGAGATTAGGAGCACTTCCTTTAAGAGTGTGCTCCTAATCTCAGCTCGTTACCTGTATAAAAGACAGCTGGGACCCAGAAATCTTTCTGATTGAGAGGGGATCAAATCCTTATTTAACTCATTAAAATGCAATTCAATATATAACATTTTTGACATGCGTTTTTCTGGAATTTTTGTTGTTATTCTGTCTCTCACTGTTCAAATAAACCTACCATTAAAATTATAGACTGATCAATTCTTTGTCAGTGGGCATACGTATAAAATCAGCAGGGGATCAAATACATTTTTCCCTCACTGTACGTTCGGTCACTTTTTTATGCTCAGCCTCTCACACAAAACGGCCGATGAGCTGTAGCTGAGCTGTTGTTATTCCAGCAGGGTTACACAGTGAGGATGCTGCTGGGTAGATGGGAGCTGCCTCCCCACGTACAACAGTCCCCCCTCGCTGGTACTACTGTGGCCCTGAACTCTATCTCAGTTCTCCATC